GCAGCCCGGCTGAACCACCGTGGCTATCCCTGGCCAAGAAGAAAGCCAAAGCGTGGAGTGAAATGCCACAGATTGTACAATAGCAAATGACATGAGCATCCTTCTTTGTATTGCCAATAGCTGCGTTAACTCCATTTAATCCCTTCTTTACTGTGACCATTTTTTTGAGAAATAAGAGCCTTAAAACTTTTTATTAGACTGTTGTATGTAAATACACAATGAAGAAATGCCATCACAGGCTTAATTTGAAGTAGGAAGCTGAGCATTTCCTACTATCAAATACTAGGAAAACTTGATCAATTTATTATATCCTTGCACATCTGGCAGTGATGTTCAAAGAAGACATGCTTCAGGCTTTTGAAACATTTCCCTTGCAAAATACATTTTTAAAGTTTCCGCAGACTATACAATATTTTGTGCAATGGCTAAGAAATTACTGTAGTCTATAAAATAGATACAATGCTGGGCACTGACACATCATGACTCATGGGCATTGATGTCATCACACTTCTTTCTCTAATGCTCTGGGATGGGCAGTCTGACTTTGCTTCTGATTGTTAATGGATCTGTGTTGTGATAGCTATAGGATCTAAACAGCATTGCGAATTGGAGTAGTTTTGGCTTTTGGGTGAAGTCGCAACACCATGGGTCTTGTGCTTTGCTCATTGATGCCCACTAGAATGGCCCAGAGCTACACACCTGTTCTCTCCCATGCCCTAGAAAACCACCACACTCTAGCATGTACTCTGCTTTTGGTTACACCTGTGGAAATCTGGGATAGTTTGGGCATTCTACCAAAAAAAAAAAAGTTTTAATGATGGCAAATATTGATTTATTTTTTGTGAGATTCCTCAGCCAATTGTGTCTCTTAAAGAGTGTGTTGGGGGTGGTAACTATTTGCTGCCTAGAAGGTGCACTCTGCTCTCCATGTTCACGTGAATGTGTGTTTAGTTGGTTGTATTTAATATTAGTGATAAAAGGGGCATCTGCTTTTCTCCTTGCCTCATCAGTCTTTAACCAGTAACTCAACATCAGTCTAAGAATGTGCAGCTGGGAAAGGATTATTCTCTCAGGGCCTGGCCTTGCAGTCACTTAAGTTAACAGAAGTTTTGCTTCAGACTTTGAAGGAAGCAGATACTTGAAAAAGAAGGTTTGTAAAATGATGTTCGTGGCTTAAGTGGCAGTGGCACTCACCGGTCCTTTTCAGGTTTTGCAGCATTGCGCATTTATGTAGTTTTTGTTTACAGTCAGTGCAAAATTTGAAGGCTGGCTGGGCTGACGGAGAGTTTGTAGCTGGAAAGTTGATAGGTATTTTAAAGAAAAATACTGGATTAACTGCAAAACAAAAATTTGGTTTCAGATCAGCTTAAGCAAGACTTTAATCTTCCAGTCTTGGCCTGAATTTAATATGTAGCTCTTGCAATTTGAAAACAGTATTAATTAGGACCCATACTGTGATTTTAATTTTTTTTTTAATATAGGTGAAAACTTACTCACCCAAGTAGGCTCACTGAAGCTATAGATACTGTTTATTTTGTACTAACACCAGAAAGAGTAAGAATTTCACATTGACTTGGTAATCCATGCCTATTTTACTACTTGTGTTTCTCTATTTTAGGAAGCATATCTTCTCTTACAAAGAACTGAAACATTTGTATTTCTCTGAAATTTTTGAGTGTAATGTAAATGAACATACTCAGCTTTGATTCTTGAAGTTTTGTACAGCTGCCATCCCATCACAAGCTTACTGACCCTGTGTAAAATACGTGCATTTCTATATTCAGCAAACTGTCTTCTCTTTTTCGTAGTGTGGATTGTGATCCTTCACCCAAAGTACTGCAAATGATACTATAATCTCTCTTTGCCTG